CAGGTGGTGACCTAATAGTAAAAGAGTAGAATTTTTTTTTATAAATTCTTAAGTTTGAGTTTTCTCATATATTAATAGAGATGGTTATTGGAGCTTTTACCTGACGATAATTTTATGATTCTAGAGGATTAGTTAAGATACACACAAATTGACCCAAACACCTTTGATGACAAAAAAAAAAAAAAAAAAAAGAGTTAGCTGATTAAATACTCTCCCTTTTGTTATTCACCTAATAGATTAATACAATTTTATAATTCAACATACATGTAAATAGTTTGCAATACATTCACCATTAAATTCACCACAATTAATTTAATGAAAACAATTACAGCCACATGTGAGTACAATCATGCTTAAAATCTGTATCTGAATGATGAAAAATCAAATCATTGTTAAGTGTATTGTCACTATTTATGAAAAGGAACTGGAAACGGGAAAAATCATTAAGATAATGAGCTAAATCTTTTTCTATGTCAATGCAAGCTGGTGCCATACAAATAAACGTGACCCATGTCTATGTCCATGGTTGATATAAATTCTTAGAGATCCTGCGATCCCAAATCAACCACCTAGCAACCTAACACTTTTACACTTAAAAAGTTGAAATTCCCATCATGTTTCAATAAGCTTTCTGGCACATAAATCTCATATATTACATGGTTTTCGTTTTCGTTTTCGTGATAACGACAACAAGGCAATTAATACATTGTCTTCACTTGAGCCCAAGTTTCAGCTATCGAGGTGGACTTTCAGGTACAGGATTTACAATTCATCAACCAATAAAACTGGTGAAGAAAGTAGTTAGGAGGGGGGGTAGTGCGAAAAAGGCAAGCACGTGAGATGAGGTCTGGAAATTTTAAGTAATAAAAATGCTGAAAGTGAATGTGAAATAATAAAGAAAAACATGTGTACGTGAGAAAAGAAAGAGGAGGGGGGCGGAGGGTTGGGTCCCAACTCCCAAGGCCGAAAATGCGGTGCCAACAATAACAACAGAAACAGAGTTAAAATATTGGAGTAGAGAACGTGGTCACATGGATGGCTAAGGTTGGCAGGGCTCTCTCTCTCTTTCTCTAATATTTTTGGAGCGAATTTTGTAGTGATTGATGTGGTACAAGTTGTGTGTTGGGGCAGTCTGAATTTAGAAAGTTGCATTGCATATGGTTGTGATTTAGAGGTAGAGTACATGATCTGCAACATACCCACTTTCTTTGACAGTTAATTGGGTTCATTGCTTCTGCATATGCTGCCGTCTTTGCTTTAACTGATTTACCGTATTTCATCCCTTTTATATATATTCTTATCTCTTCTCATTTCATCCCCTGCAAACCTTTAAGATAGGGTTAGCTATTACACTTTTAAATATAATTATAACAATTATATAAAAAAGAAAAACAACATCCCTTTTTTTTCAAGTAAAAGATGTGATGATAATACTCTGGTTTCCAACCTTTTTTTTTTTGTGACTGGGGGTCTTTTAAATATAATTATAAAAATAATATAAAAAGGAAAAACAACACCCCTTTTTTTCAAGTAAAAGATGTGATAATAATACTGTTTTTTTTTTTTTTCCTTATTTGTCATCAGGGATGGTCGGGCTAACTTGATGTACCTCAATTAATTCTTTAGAATTTTAAAGTCGACAGTCGGATAAATCCATTTAGTGGTTATTCTTATTAACAATCCAAGTGAATCGAACTCAAGACCTCTTAAATAATACATTCAAGAGTCTTAGTTAACCGTTGGGCCACCCAGTGGTGGTTCTGCTTTCCCATTTCGCCTTATTATGTGATAATCAAAGTTATCCAATAATATAAGTGCCAACTTTTAGTAGAGGAAATAGAAGATTTTGAAAGAGAGGCACAGCACTAAACAGAGATTACGCATAGCTGTTTCTTTTTAGTAAATCCGTTTTTCCAGAATACCCATAATATGTGAGCTGGTGAAGTGTTGATGCCGGCAATGTTCTGCAAAAACAAGATTCTCCTGAGATCCTTTAAAAAGAAGTCTCGATAAAACTAAAATAAATTAAATAGCGAATTAAGAAGAGTAAAAGTGAGTGAGTAGCTAATTATTTAAAGCATAGTTTTCAAAGAGATGGATTTGGGGGTTATATGTTAAGTGTACATGAGACACGCCTGCAGGGATTTGGTGTCTAAAAGACAGCTACATTGTATTCTGCAAAAGAATCATACTCTTTCTCAACTTAATTGCATTTCTTTTTAATTTACGTGACACATGAAAAGGAGGTTGAAATACAAAGGAATGTGCGAGAAGAGAAGGAAAGGTATTAAATATAATTTACATAGTTGATTGTGGTTCACACAAACACGTTTTGAACTGTCATCTACCGTAAGTATAAAGAAAAAGATTTGTATTCCTTCTCTTTAACTATACCACCTTTAAACCGTGACGGTTTATTCTAACAATATTTTGGTTTCTTGTGTGTTTTATAAAAATATAAATGCCTTCACATGTATACCACAATTCTTTATACAGATTAACAACATATTTATAACAACAAATCTGTTCGTAAATCTATATATATATATATAATCTCTTGTGACCCTGAAATTATGGTTGTGTAAGAATTCTAGTGGCTATCCCTATTAATACCTAAAAAAAGATTCAAACTCAGGACCTTTTAAGTATGAATGGATATAAAACCCGGCCACGCGAGGACCCGTCCCGACCCGGCTTGAACAAGACGGATTTTCCCCGAATCGTTCAGGCTTTGGGCCAAGATCGTGCCTAAGATTAGCCCTGGAATTTGGGGAATAGCCGGGATAGGTCTTGCCTCGGCCTTGCCCGGCTCGGCTCGGCCCGACCCGTATATATATATTAATTTTAATAATTAAAAATCAATCATATATATCTATATTAATTTTAATATTTAAAAATCAATCATATATGCCTATAATAATTTTAATATTTGAAAATCAATTATACATTATACAATGATAAATTATAATTATGTAAGTATTTTATAAAACTATATACAAATAGGTAATAAATAAAACTAGATTAAATATAATAAATCATTATATATATATACAAATAGGTAATAAATAAAACTAGATTAAATATAATAAATCATTATATATATAAAACAAAAGTGATACATTCGACATTATGTATTATACATTATATATGGTATACATTTGACATTATACATTGTATATTATATATGATATATACTATATAAGTATAATGCATATAACATATATACGTTGTACATTATAATTTATACATAATATGCTATTATCTATAATCTTACGTTAATACATAATATATATGTAATATATTATTTGTTGTTTTGATTGATTATAATGAATCAATAAATCATTATAATTTTTTTTGTCTCTCATTGAATCATTATTTCAATTCTATTACCTAATTGCCTTTGTTATATTGTGATAGCTATTCATTTAGAACTTCTTATAATATATATGATTGTTATTTATTTAAAATTTATTATAATATATATGTATAATGTATCATATGTAATACATTATATATTGAAGAGACATTATATGTGTTAATTCTTATTACTTAATACAATAATACATAATATTATACTGTTAATATATAATATATTTATATATATGTATAATGTATTATAATTTTAATTTTAATTTTTGGATTCATTATAATCATTAATCAGGGGCGGATCCAACACTTATTGAGGGTGGACATTTTAACAAAAAAAATATTAATATGTATAATTTTTGGATTTTGGCCTACCCTAACAGAATTGTTAATTGAAAAAAAAATATTAATGTATAATTAGTTTTTATTTTAGCCTACCGTAACAGAATTTTTTGGATTTGCTATTGATTATAATAAATGTTTAATATGTATATTATATATTTAATTTTTTTTTTTTTGTTGGTATATATAATTTGGAGAAAATAATAATAAAATTATCAAGGATACAAAAAAACAGAAAACCCCCAAATAGGGAATTCGGGGAACATGCTTTTTTCGGGGAATCCCCAAATGCCCCGAACGAGCTTTTTTTGGGGAATCCCCGAATCCCTCGAATGGGCTTCGAGCCAGGATCGAGGAATCCCATTAGGCTTTCGGGCTGAGGCCAGAGATAGGGGTCCACGGTCCCACTCTGACCCTTGCCCATTCCTACTCTTAAGTAATACACCCAAAAGTCATTGTCAAACTGTTTGGCTACCCAGAGGTTGTTAATCTGTAATATTTAACTCTAATAGTTTATAAATTACAATAATACTACACTCACAAATCATTCTCATTAATTTTCTCTCACAAACGTGATGTGTCAGCTTGCAATGGGTCCCTCTTGACCAAATATGAGCTGCCACATAAACATTTATGAGAGAAAGTTGTGAGAGACGTTTATCAACCTATTTTTATTCTATAAATTAATATGATATTACCAAATATTAATAAGGTTTATGCTTTGAGTTGGTGGGACTAGAGTCCGCCCAAACAATAGCATATAATTCAAAGGAATGACTTTTATTTGAATTTTAATGGAAAATTATTCTGTTTCTCAATTGAAATCCTTGGAAACAAATCAAAAATCAAATCCATTTTCCTCTAATTATCACATAAATCAATTAAATTCCTTTTTAATAATAATAATAATAAATGAAAGACAATCATTAACGAAGCCCAATCATGGAATAATCACAAAATAGGAGGACAGTGATTAATGACATAATTAGGTAGTAATCTAATCCGAATATTCCAACCTATCACTATCCAATCCCCGGGCAGCCGGGTTAAAATAAATAAGAAATCATCAATTAATGAACCACGTTTCCAAAGTGGGGATACTTCTTGTTCTGCTTCTGGTCCAAATTCAGAAAACGAGTCCTAAGCAAAGGCAAAATATCCTTGCCTATCACGTGCATTAATTATACTTGCACACAACCAAATAAACAAAAATAATAATAAAACACTTCCATTTAATATTACAACTAATCCAACTAGATTCTCCTGGAGTATAAATATCTTAGTACACCTCTTCTCTCTCCCTACAGTTGCCGTGTCTTGTGTTGTTTTTACTTCTTTTCTTTCTTTCTTTCCTACTCGAAGAGGGAAACCGAAATACAGACTATAAAAATAAAAATCCCCAAATTATTTTTCTAATGGAGTTGCCAGCCATGGATTGGGTTCGAGGAGACGTTCTTGGTCATGGCAGTTTCGGGAGTGTAAGTCTGGCCGTACCCAGAAATAATTTCTCTCAAATTCCTTCCTTAATGGCCGTAAAAACTAGTCAAGATTCTTGTTCTACCAGTTTGAAGAACGAGAAGGAAGTACTTAATGAATTGGGTAGTTGTCCACAGATTGTGAGGTGTTTTGGTGATGATTGTAGTGTTGAAAACGGTGAGAGATTTTATAATCTCTTCTTGGAGTATGCGTCTCGAGGGAGTTTGGCTGATCGGGTGAAGAAAAATAAGGGGAAATTGCAAGAATCAGATGTTCGGAGGTACACAAGATCATTGCTCAAAGGTCTTAGACATATTCACGCAAAAGGGTTCGTTCACTGTGATATAAAGCTCCAAAACGTCTTGGTTTTTGACAAGGATGAGGCAAAGATCGCTGATTTCGGTTTGGCGAAGAAATCAGGGACAGAAAACCAACCAGACAGGTTTGAGTGCAGAGGTACGCCTCTGTATATGTCACCGGAAGCAGTAAACGACAACGAGTATGAGTCACCGGGAGATATATGGGCTCTTGGCTGCGCTGTTGTGGAGATGATGACAGGCAAACCAGCTTGGAATCTCAAGGATGGAGCCAATGTGTTTGGTTTGTTAATCAGAATTGGAGTTGGAGATGAGTTGCCTATAATTCCAGGAGAATTGTCCGATGAAGGCAAAGATTTTCTGATCAAATGTTTTGTTAAGGATCCTAAACAGAGGTGGACTGCTGATATGCTTTTGAATCATCCATTTGTTTCTGCGGATGGTTCTTTTGATGATCATGATGATGAGATCCTTACATTGAAGGAGGAAGAAATTAAACAATCACCAAGAAGTCCTTTTAATTTTCCAGAATGGTTTTCAGTTCAATCATCAGTAACAACATCAGGGGAATCTTCAAGGTTGGTTTCACTTGTGTCATCTCGAAATTGCTTCTTGGATCGAATTAGGCAACTGGCCGGTGATGACAGACCCAATTGGTCAGATTCAGAGAGTTGGGTCACTGCGAGACAAAAGTGAAGGACACGATGCAGGCAACTTGGAGATTTCTTGTAATTGATGCAAATTTTGTTTTTCTATTTCGACTGTAAATTACTAGGAGAGACGCTGAGACTGACTTAGATAATAGATGGGTCCTGATTGGCCACTCAGGTGGCTGAGTGTACATAGAAGATTTTTTAAATGAATTAAATTCCTTTCCAAGAAGGAAATTATCTCAGATTTTTCTTTGATTTTTTCTTTCCTCATTGATTGTGTTAACGCAGAAAATTAACCAGAAGTTCTGTCACGCAGATAAAGTAATTCCAATTTCAACCGTAATTGAGAAGATCCAAAACTACAAGCTAAAAAACAAAAAATGAAAATCTGAGAGTTGATTTTGTTTTTGCTCAAGTTAATAATTGCATCTGTGAATCAAAGCTTCTAGCAATGTGTTGTGTATCAGATTCCTATATGGGTTATTTTCTTTGAATTTATTTTCTTGTTGGACTAATTTTTGACAAGAAAATATTTTACTTGTTTGATGAGAATATGCATCTGGGTTTACAATAGTGAAGTGCAATGGAGGGCCTCATTGTGGATGTGGAGATGAAATTATGAGCTAAACCAATAACATTCTGTTTTTACATGAACAGCATCTTTTGTCTCACCTTGTTACATGAAACAGAGACAGTCTGATCTTAAACATTTACCGTTGTTAAAGTTTTTGCCCAATTCAAATTCATGCCTGAATTTTGTAAGTTTTCCCCCCATGAAAAACCAATTTTAGCAGTACCAACAAAGGCAGATATAATTACATAAAACACAGGTTGTCAACCGGTACAACTTACAGGTAAGTTTTGTTTTTCTAAATATTATTTATCTACAGAGTAATGAGTAAGTGGTTGAATTTTTTATTACTTCCATTAATTGTTTGCAGCATGTTATATTTATTTATTTTGTTTGCAGTTTGTTATATTATTTATGTTGTTTTCATCATGTAATATTTTATGCTATCAAATCATACTGGATACATTGAATTAAATTGTTTGCAGCATGAGAGGTTCATGCTATCAAGTAAACTTTTAACCACACCTAACTTCATTTCAGAGATGTAGTAGCAAAAGATACTGTATATGTATTCCTTGTCAGAAATTGGTGAGCCAATATCACATTGGTTAATCTATTGATTATCAATTAAAAATAATCAAACCCACCAAATATTTTGGAAGGATTAAATGGTTTCCAATGCCATGCACAATTTTTGGCCATAAAAATGTGAAACATGAGATTCTTATTGCTTATGTAGTATGCCATAGATGTTACATTTATATGATTACTTGATTTAGACAGACATCCATCCCTCAAGATTAGTGATGAACTAATTGTATTAAATAATCTTGGAATTGTATGACTAACACTCTTAACAGATTGGAACTGGGTCTTGACAACTCTAATTATCATCCAGGCATTGCAAAAATACAGTTTCTAGGATCTGACAGAATCAGAAACAGCACAGGTTACAAGTTCCGCGAATGAATTCTAGAGAAGAGTAAGATTTTGTATTAAAGATTTGATGTAACTAATGAATGAAGAAATCATGTGGTGCCTGAAAAAGGTTGCAGCAAATCTCAGTGAAAACTGCAAAAAGAAGATCTATGCCGTTTCCAATATTTATACCTTTTGGACCACAGTAACAGACTAGTGTTGAAGAAGAGTGATGATGAAAATCCTAAAGCAATTGGGTTTAGAAAAGGTCTGCATATGTTGTTCAAATCATGGTCTTTTCCCCATGAAAGCAAATATTTTTCCAAGTACCAACAGTAGTAGATTTGAAACGCAGGCAAATTAGGCGATCTACCTGCATAAGTCATAACCCAGCGGATAATAATGAGACAGCTTCTGAATTTGTCTTAATTAATAAAAGTAAAGCAAAAGATAGGTCATATCTTTCATTTGGAAAACAAGTAAGAAATTGGTTGGCAAAAATCACATTGTTTAACCTTTTAATTATCATTAATCAGCAGCCCAATGCCAATTGCCATGCACGTTTGTTGGCCACAAATCAGGTGAAACATGAGATTCTTATGATTATTATTATTATTGTGTACCATGTTATGGTACATCCGAGAGTTTTTATTTGTTAAAAAGACGTGCTACTAGAGTGATTACGAAGATTATCATTAAGATTTAATCAATTATACCATGAAATTGTAGGATATTAGATTCTTTATTATACTAGAAATTCTTCACTGGAATATATTATAATGGACCTGTCTATATTCATTTTTAAGTAATGTAGTTTACCAAAGTTTTTTACAAGTTTAATTGGGTCGGACTGCCTTGAACCTTGTCCTTAAATAAGATGTGCAGTTATAAAATATTATGATTGATGAAGGACTTTAATTAGGGTTTATTGGAACTTATATTTGCTTCCTTTATTATTTGTACTGAATTGAGAATAAATTCAGATGTAATTCCGTAAGTTTAAGAGGATTTAAAAAACTCTCTTATTGTTATGGATAAAGTTGAAGATTTATTAACTTAATATCATAAAGTTATTGTGGTTGATAAAACGATAAACACATCACAACTCACAGGCCAACACTACTTGTAGACTTTGGAGGAAATTGAGTGAGATTTGACATCTTAGATTTTGATACATATATATAGTATCACTCTTTAAAATATAGATAATATTTCATATATAAATTTTTTATACAAAATTTATCTGTTTCAAGATGATTGGATAACTTTAAATTTAAAAATAAATTAAATAATCATTGGGATACTAATATTTACTAGCCCAAAGCACATATAAGACATTCTTTTCATCCAATCTAGGAACAATTTTAAAATCTAGAATACATATTTAAGTTTGGAACATAATCTAATTATCGATTTTATTATAAAATAATTATCATTTTTTATAATTTTAAATTATAAACTTTTTGTTATTATTAAAAAAAGAAAAAGAAAAAGAAAAAGAAATTATACCCTTACCGGAAATCAAATCCATTTACATCCAAGCAAAATCACCTTGATTGACAAGCAATATAAAGAAGATTGAGTTCAATCAGACATGGGCCATATATCAATTTAAATTGGAGCAATGTCTTCGGTGGGCCTCTTCCTTTTCAAGCCCAACGTTGGGCCCAAAACTCGGCTTTTTGTCGCAGTAAAACAGTGCGGAACGGAAAGTAACTCTTTTATTTTAATTTAATTTGGTTAAATTTAATCTCAACATGAATTCATTAACATTCCTTTAACATTTTGCAGTCTGGTTGACAATCATAAGTAATTTCATTTATCCATTCTACCTCACCTTAAAGCTAATTTGAAAGAGAGGTTAATGGGTACATAAAATCCATTGTTTTAAAACTCGGCCCGGCCCGACCGATTGAACCGGGACCCGATTGGTGAGCCACAAAACCGTTTATATCAGTCTACCTACTTACACCCGCGGTTGGACCGCTGTAGCACCCGCCGGTCCAGTCGTTATTTTAAAAAAAACCGGGTCAACTAATTTATGAAATTAAAATTTTAAATTTTAAATTAAACTCTAAATTCTAAAGCAGTAAAAGCCCTCTATCCCAAAGCAAATATCAACAATTACAACCCCCCCCCCCCCCATCCCCCCCCCCGCCCCCCCCCCCCCCAAATTTTCCAACGACATTTGCCACACTTTGGTTTAAACTGAAAATCTGAAATCTTCATTCTTCCACCGGAGTCTCCCCTTCACCGTCAAATCTCGTCGCTTTAGCTTGCTTACTTCATCATCAGCTGGGGTACCACGTATCTCCTCCCATTTTGTGATCTTCTCTGTCCTCTCACACTCTTCGTCACTACCGATCTACGTTGTTCATCCATTGTCATCAATCTTCTCAAAGCTACACAATTGATCTCATCTTCTTCTTGCCCAGGAACTGTCGCCTCTTCCCCTTACATTGCTTGAATCTCAGCTCTTCATAGTTGCACTGTTCACAGCCGAGCTGCACTTCTCCAATGGTCAACTCAACTGTCAACGGCAGCTCATCTTCACCAGCACCAGGTAACTGTCATAGTGTCACCTTACTGATGCACATTCAACTATTCCCAGAAAATGTCTATAGTGAGAAATCAACCAATCTAAATTTTGTGGCATTGTGATTTTGTAGACAATCAATGATGTTATGCTGGGAGTGACTCAGGCAGGGTTGTCTCGGTATCTTAACCGAAAATATGGTGAGCTATATATAATTAATTAATATATAAAATTATGTTATTGAAGTTTGATGATGAATGATATGAGTTTGTATAATTTAAATTATTGCTTCCTCCTGTGTGACTTAGATTCTTGCTTCCTTCCATAGTCGGATCCCATTCATACATTTTTGAAATATTATTATAACTCATAAACTAGCTTCGACATATACACAATGAAACATTGCCGGGGAGAGTAGAGGTGGGTATTTGGGACTGGGTCCAAAAGCCCAACCCCAAAACCCGGTCCTAGGAGGTCGGGTCCCAAAACGGTAATTTGAAAGAGAGGTTAATGGGTACATAAAATCATAAGTAATAACATTTTGCTGTCTGGTTGACAATCATAAGTAATTTCATTTATCCATTCTACCTCACCTTAAAGCTAATTTGAAAGAGAGGCTAATGGGTACATAAAATCTACTTAATTAGGAATATATTTCAGCTAATCAAGCTGCATCAACAGATATCGATGTTTTTATGGAAACCTCATACTTCCATCTTTTATGCTTGATAGAGAGATCTTGCTTTTTCCATAACCCAATTTTTGTCTCTCATGTGTATTTCACAAAAAAGGTAAAGCCAAAAAGAAAAGGATATTTTATGAGGATAGAAATTAGTGCTAAGCAGTCAAACCTTATCTCCAATAGCAGTAGTGATAACTTATTCACTCAAATTACCAAGAAAGAAAGATGGAGCTTATACTTTGGTTAGTCCCGGCAGCAACAATCACGGAAATAAAACTCATATCTCTTCGCTGCATTTATCACCGTTGATACATATAGGATAGATAACTATTTTAGTTGTTTTATAACCATATTCAATCAATACATCTATGAAGCTCCACTTTGATTTGAAGTTGCATATGCAGGAAAACCATTTTAATTGAGAGAAAACATGGCAGGTGGAGGCCCTTGGATTATCTCAACGAGTACAGTTTGTGCGGCAAGTCATGAAGAATCAAACCTTAAGATTGATTTAACTGCGTGGGATCTTCGTCTC